TCTAATATAGCACAGTTACTGCCGATAATTGACTGCAATTAACACATTTATGTGACAGGATATGCACTTCCATTGGACACACTGACCCTGTAATTCGCCGATGTAAACATCGCATAATTTATACGACACCTGACACGTTTTAACCAGCGAGTTTAAAAGTTTACACCCTGAATTGGTCTTAACATATTTGACAGTAACTACATGCAACGTCACAGCGACTGTGTTAATTTACATGCATATCAATTAGTCTCGGTAAATAACACGAGTATATGTGAATCTTGTAAAAGTCGGTGGCGTCTTTGATGTTTACGGAATAGCATTCGCACAAATACAGATTAAAATTCATATAAACTGGATCATTTAAAAACGACAAAAGAATGTACAATAAATCTGTTTTAGCGATCGTATTTTTTATAATTTTGTGTACTTACGACATTAATATCAAAGACTTTTTTTTAATTAATAAGAGCAAACTGACAATTTTTATTAGCGATAATTATAGAACTGCCTGGGTTCCCATATTTACTCGATTATGTCAAGTATTCTTGTTCCTAGTAGACTACAACGATCAAGTATGTATATGCGACATTTGTGACAGTAAATTGAGGACATATAATCGAGTTTTCTTTCAAGTTTCTTTAATATTGCAAACGGATTTAATATGTCACTAACCTGATTATCTGTCTGGTTTTACATCCATTTCACGAAAATTGGCCGGAAATGAGCCGACGCATGTTTGTAATATATAGAACAGAGACTGGGTAAGATGTATTTGTTGGGATAAAAGTTCGTCGGATCTTAAATTCGTGGATTGACCTACCCACGAAAACCACGAAAATTCGTGCCCCACGAATAATAATGATTTTACAGTATTTGCTTTTTTTTAACAATTTGCATTGCTTTGATCATTTTTGATAATAAATAGTTTTTTTTTTAATTTCTGTTTAAAGTGGTTATATCATTAAAGTATTCTTCATCACAGGTTTTACAGTATTTATGATGGATTAAAATGATACAGGGTTTGAAGATTACTTAATTTTCTAGCCTGTCCTATCTTTGATGAATTTTCTGACAAATTTTAGACAAATTACAAAGAATCATGAGTCATTTGTCATATTTTGTTAGCATTTTCTTGACAATTTTTGAGATATTGTTATAAGATGTATTAAATAAAACAAATATTTTTTATTTTGTTATAATCTTTTATGATTGATTAGTCCTTACAAAAGACAACAACAGAACAGTGTCTATTTTATATACAGTCAAATTTACTTATAAAAACAAGGGTTGTAATATTTGAAAAGTGGTCTTTGTTGACATATTGAGTTGCTTAATGAAAATATGGCTTTCTAAAATTGTAATCTTTATTACAGAACAGCCATTTAATTAAGGTTGACCTTATCTTGTTGGTTTTAATTTCATCAGGGACTTTGGGTAAGTTATTCTGCAGGCTTACAAAACATCGGTTGTCCTACTCAGGTGCCCTCTTATGCCAGAAGTACACATGTAATGCAGGAAGGGGCATCTGAGGTCTTCCTTTGCCAGGAAAGCTGGAAAGTTGTTATTATGACCTTTACCATCTTGAACCAGTCACCATGATTTATTGCAGACTCAGTCTAGAAAACAAAGTTACCATTCTGAGAGCAGTTACTAACATTGCATGCAACCTCATTATATTTAAAGAGTTTACAATATGCACAATTTTTCATTCTGTATAATAAGGGACTTTTGATCTGATTATTGGCACAATTAAATGCTAGTTCCAGGCTTGCTAATGACCAGTGTTCTTGGTGTATTTGACAGTGATTACAGGTCCTGGTTTAACTAATTGTCACCATAGTTACAACCTTGATGAAGACTATAGTTATATTCAAGGTCAATTTTCCTTTAACCTTTAGCCTACTGGCAGCAACAGATTCTACCCATGTGACCAGTGCAGACCAACAATCAGCTGGCACATTTGTGATGTCTGATCATGGTCTGCACTGTTTGCTTTTATGCCAGTAAACAAATATTTTTGAAAAAATTTGCCAAAAAAGATGAACGGATACTGTTATGTCCAGTTTAAAGTTGATAAGGGAATGACCAAATAAATATGCTTGTTGAGTTTAGCCAATTTAAGATCTGAAAATGTATTGTTTATAATTTATCTATTGTTAATGATTATTTAATTGTTATAACCAATTAATTGTTAGAAGTAATTTTATTCATTTGTACTGTAATTTAGTATAAAACATATTTCGAGTTTTCATATCTAGGGTAATATTGAAGGTTAAATTTGATTTAATAATTGTTTTCTTTTACAATTTAAATGAAATGGTAAAAAAGGAAGAAAAAATACAGGGCATAAGTATTTTAGAGTTAAAATTCTAAGTTGCATTTTGATAGAATTTTATCTATATGTCAAAATTGATATATGCTTATACTTGAAGATGTTTCAAAAGGTAAAAATATTTAGGACCTAAGGTAATTTATTCAGTTATTTACTAATATATTTATATATAAGATATGTTATATCAAGAATAGCTAATAAATCACCCATATTACAGTCTCTCCAATCTTTGATATCAATTTAATTTTTATAATCGTGAAATTAAATATTAACTGTTTGAGGTTTTTCTTTAAAAGAACAATAGGACACTTGACTTTTAAGATGCTCTTCAAACTGAGCATGTTTATTTTATACGATATACATTAATTGTTCCGTGTTTAATACAAGCTTGTTCAAACGCTGGAGTATAGACTCTTTAAGATGGGTTTAATCTCCCGCTATGTTTTCCTATAAGTTTAGATACAGGGTTATTTAAGCCATGATAAATATTTACTGCCCAAATAAAGTCTTTTTGTAATGCTGTTTGTGATGGAAAGTCTTTGTTGCATCTTTTACGAGCTGTGAAATTTAACGGTATTTCTAATAGTACTTGTCTATGTTGCATGCTGGGAAGTATAGTAAAGGATATTCCTATGTTTTTAAATGGTTCGAATTTTTGGTACGTTATTATTATTTTATTTTTGTTTTAAATTTCTTTATGAATTAATGTTACGTGACTTATATTTCATTAAAAGTGCTGTTGAACAAATACAAATTTTTGGCTGGATGATAAGTCACGTTCGATCAATAGAATTTTACCTCTTTATTTCATTCTTCGAAAAGTGAGAGATAAAAAATACTCCTGATATATTTTGGGGTAATAATAGTTTATTAGACAATAAGTTTTAAGCTGTTGTTGTTGTTGTTATTTATTGATGTTGTTGTTGTTGTTGCCGATGTCCTGGCCGACCTTGATATTTTCTATAGGCAATATTTTGTCATATTTTGTGATGTTAGAGGTGTTATATGTGTCTGCTATGTGTCTCTGTAGGTGAAATAAACAGCATAATAAAAGTCTATATCTCGCAGTTATAGTCTATGTAATACGTAGATAATACACTGAAATAGGAACCGATTATATTCCCAGAATGCTAGTTATGTAATGTAATATTGCAAGAATATTTTATATGTTGGCATTAGAATTCTATAAATGTGAAACGTGAAATGTGAAAATTTTCCATCAAAGTCACACAATAATCATTTATATTTGTTTTGGATAAAAATTCTTGAACTTTTTTTGTACGATTTGAATAAAATCTTTGCATTTTGTTCAGTCAGTATGATTTAATGTTCTATGAGTTGAAAAAATTCAGTACTGTAAGAATTTGTATTGACCAAAGGCATAAGAATAAATGATATCTAAGAACTTTGCAAATGTGGGTAATTCTCATCAAATCCCATAGTACAACCTTGTGTTTGACAGGGCACTCAAACACAACAGGGTGATCAATGCATTTCGCCTCTTATTAATATATTTACTTTGTTGTTACTGTAAAAGTGTGTTTGTACACTTGTATTAGATGGGATAACCCACATTTGCCGAGTTCTGATGCCTCATTTATTATGTCCGTCAGTTAGTGTTAAAATTAGTGGCAAGGTCACATGGTTTATCCAGACTAAATAGATACCATTACTGTTTCAGAAGAATTAATTATTTTTTCTAATATTTTATTTCCTTTTAAAGAATCACAAATTTTTTATGTAATTTTTTTTCAAAATTGAAATTTGTGATTGTGTCAGTTTGCTCAGGTTGCCTGTGGCTCACTGAAATCTTTTCATGTTTTGGTTACAAAATCATGATGCAATTAGCTATGAATTCAACTTGATTAGGATTTAATTGGCTTTAATATAGTTCATTCTTTCAATTTCTTGCCTGCTTTTCCAGGAAACATTTCTGTTTCAAAAATTACTGAAATCATTTTTAGAGTTTGAAAAGCAATTACTGTATCAAAGTTAAAGAGGACAGTTTGTGATGATACCCACAGGAAATACTGTCAAAGATAAAAATAGCACTGTTTTTATATTGGATAGTTATACCATGAAGGAAAAATAATATTGTTGACAAATATTAATTCCCTATTGGAACTTATTTCCGTCAGGAATACTTTTGGTCGAACAAATTGGTTATAAATGTTTCCTTTCTTCTCTTAAATTGTCTCATTCTTTGAGAGGTATAAGATATAATTGAGAAGATGTGATTTGTTGCTCGCAAAGACTCCGGAATATTCCCCGCACTTGTCATCGTGTATTCCGCTGGCCATTTACGCTAACAAAGTTATGATATCTCTTTTTGTACACTTTCAGGGAAATGTGTCTTTAAGAGAGTATTCAATGCAACATAAGCTATTGCATCCCATAAATGTCTGAACGTTTCCATTAGAAGAATCATACTGTATCATTATCTTGCGATTAAACTGTAACCTTAAACTTTTTTTGGGCTACTTAATGCATTGATTAAACATCAGCATGACCTTGAAGCAATTTAAACGAAGAAAAATTTTTTTAAGGACTTTGATTGTCAAATATTAGTTTCATGTTGAGTATTTGTAGGATTTTTATTAAGAAATATTAGTTTGATGTTGATATCTTTATATTTTGTTTAATTAAGATATTTTTTTTCTATTTTCAGGAAAAATACAATGATTTGATGCTGTTAAAAAAACTTCAATGATGGCTGTCTGCAGATTTGTATTGGTTCTTCTTTTTGGGGCAATAAATTTGATAAATGGGCAGGAGTACAAAATAACTTTCGCACAAAATGAAGAGTTACCAAAATGGACATTTGTCGGGAACGTGTCTGACGCTCCTGGATTTTTAAACTCTATCCCAGCGGCAGATCGAGGAAGTTTATTGTTTCATTTTTTGGAGCAGACGATGATAAATTCTATATTAAGCATCCATGATGAGACTGGTTCCCTTTTCACAACTGTTGTTGTAGACCGGGAATCACTCCCAGAATGCCAAGTATCAGAAAAATGCGAACTCTTATTTGATATTGCTGCAACTTCAAAACGTAAAGACAGTTCACTATTTGAGATTATTTCAGTTAAAGTTGTAATTAATGATTTAAATGATAATTCCCCGACATTTCCTCGTGACACTCAAGCTATTGCTATTTCAGAAGCAGCGGCTAATGGTTCATCTTATATTATCGAAAATGCAATTGATAATGACACAGGTGCAAATAATTCTATACAGTATTACGAACTTGTTGGAGACAAAAATGTTTTCGATTTGCGTGTTGAACGTAAACTTGACGAGAGTTTCTCAGTAAAACTTGTTGTTATCGGTAGATTAGATAGAGAAAAGAAAGATTCTTATACATGTACCGTAATTGCTAAAGATGGAGGTAATCCTCAAAGAGTTGGTACGATGGAATTAAATATTACAATTACAGACGAAAATGACAATGCTCCGTTCTTTGCTCAAACTTCCTATAACATAACAGTAAAGGAGGATACTCAAGACGGTGCAGGTATCCTTCAGATCAGCGCCACTGACAATGATATAAATGAAAATAGTTGGTTACTTTACCGTCTTAGTTCACGCCAGTCAGATATCGAAGAAATTAAATCTCTCTTTTACATTAATGAACACACTGGCGTTCTAAGTATAATTGGTCAATTAGTGTATGACCCAAACAAAGTTTATAAAATTATTGTTGAAGCCATAGATAGAGGCAAACCACCGTTACCGTCCACCAATCAGGCAGAAGTCACCGTTTATATCGAGGATACGGGAAACAATCCACCAACTGTACAAATTAACCTTATATCTAGCGGCACTGGACGTATGGTTAACGTATCTGAATTCTCCACAAAAGGAACTTTTGTTGCCCATGTTGAAGTGAAAGATAAAGACACCGGACAAAATGGCGATGTTAGTTGTTCCGTTGATGATGCCTCATTCGCTCTTGAACCATTATCAATTAAAGGTTATAAAGTCGTTGTTGCTAAAACATTGGATAGTGAAAAACAAGATCTACATACTGTTGTTGTCACATGTGAAGACAAAGGTAGTCCTGTTCTTAGTTCTTCCGATAGTTTTCTTGTGCGTGTAACTGACGAAAATGATATGGTACCAAAGTTTACAAAGAAAAATTATTTTGAAGATTTCTATGAAAACAATGAGAGAGGGGATTTAGTAATTTCTGTCAGAGCAACAGATGATGACAAAAGTAATACAAATAATTCTAAAATTGAATATTATTTAGACTCGTCAGTGAAGGACTATTTCGCAATTGATGCCAGCACAGGGACTATAAGGGCTCTCACCCGTTTTGACAGAGAAGAAAAAAGCGTCTGGACATTTAAAGTTTTCGCCAGAGATTTTGGAAATCCACCTTTAACTGGAAATGCCACGGTTAATATAAGAATTAAAGATGAAAATGACAATGCGCCAAAGTTTACAAATACAACTTTTGTTTTTTATGTTCAGGAAAATCTTCCATCAGATAGTGTAGCCGATAGGTTGACAGCGAAGGATTACGACGCTGATGAAAACGGAATGTTTACATACGCGATCTCAGATACAAAAGAAACAAAACTTCCATTTTTGCTCTTCCCTGATGGAGTTATAAAAACTACAATGGAATTAGATAGAGAAGCTAAAAGTTCATATGAATTTTCTGTTATTGCTATAGATAAAGGAATTCCAAAAAGAACAAGTAGTGCTAAAGTAATTATAAAAGTTTCTGACGTTAACGATGAATCTCCGAAAATTGTCTTCCCTAAAAAAGACGTCAATGACACTATTGTTATTGACCATTTAAAACCAAGCGGAACTTTTATAACACAAATAGAAGCTTACGATCTTGATGAAGGAATTAATAGTAAACTGTCGTATGTGATTGAAGATGGAAACGTAGATAGATTATTTTTGTTAAATCTGAAATCTGGAATTCTTTCGATGGCCCAGCCATATGAAGTAGAAGAAAACACTGAGGAGAATTTCAGATTGGTGATAGCCGTGCACGATGGCGGAATACCGCAAAGGTCCGAAAGATGTGAATTAAATATTTTAATTAGATACAGTAACGTGACTATCAGTGTAACAACACCGGTTAGTTCCGGTCCAAACACAAATATCATTATAGTAGTTGTGGTTATTTTCTTAACGTTTTTTTTATCGTTGGCAATTATAATCGTGATCTGTGTCATAAGAAAGTTTGATAGAGATAGAATGAAAACTCAGAATATTCAAATAAACAAGCTTCCCAATAACATGACTGAGATTCGAGACAATACGGCCAATGGTGTGATCATGACACGCCCATATGATAAAGTCGACTCTTTGAAAAAGAGGAAAGAAGTTAGTTTTTCATTTGAAGATGATTTAGACGGCATGCAAGATCATGAAATGAGTTTTTCCAACAATTCCGTGTTCAATGAGCCAGTCACTGAGGTAACTCCATTATATAGTTTTAAACCATTTCTTAAACAAATTAAATAACATAATTTATCGAAGAACCATAAACCCTTAACCTGCTGAATATTTTAAAGGACATTACCAGTTTTCCATTTTTGGAACTGTCTAAGTTTATTCTATATGGGTGGCAAATGATCATTGTCACTTTTGGTATGGGCAGGGTAGGAGTGAATTTGTTACAGTTTGTCAAATAAAATGATCATTTCTCGTGGCAGACCTTTTAAAATGTTCAGCAAATGTGGCCCTGTAATGAGTATAGTCATGGCCCTGTAATGAGTATAACCATGAACCTGTATTAAATGAGTATAGCTGTGGCCCTGTAATGAGTATAACCATGTTTGTAACCAGATATTTAAATTGAAGGCAGTGACAAATAAGTTTATTAAGAAAAATTTCATTTAAATAAGATGTATTTTACTTTATGAAAATAAATAAGATGTATTTTACTTTATGTAGAATGAAAATTTGCATTTCATTTAGGTCCAGTATTTTGTACTTTAAGATACATTGTGTGAGTTATGAGTATTTTGATTACTATTTAACAAAATTTAATACAATTATTAACATACACAATGTTTAATGAGCCAAGATTAATTTTAAAAAAATTGCCATTTTCTACATGATGGAATGATAGGTACTACAGTGTAACCTCTGCAGAACGACAAACTATGTAGGACAAATGTCACAGTGCAGCCTGACTGGGACATGAACCCAGGACCCTCAGAAAACCGTTCCGCAGCTCTACCGTCTGAGCTACCAGGCCATTTAAACATCCTCTCCCCTTAAAAGTGAACTGTAATTTGTGACACAAAAACTTTGGCTTTGGTACTAAGAGGTTTTGCTCTAAAGAGGTTAAATTCATTGGGAAGAGGTAATTGCTCTGCAGAGGGCTGTTCCACAGGGGTTGCACTGTAAATAGATTAAGCTTAATTATAATTGACTTGAAATGCAAATTGGCATTTAAGATGGAAACACATCATTAAGGAATAGACCTGTTTACATTTTGTTTTTATTTTCTTAAATTCAATTGTAGCGTGAAATTGCAACATGTGAATTTAGTGTCATTACACCTGATGTTTTTGTTTTCCTTGTCTCCGGAACCCCTAAAAACATATGTTATCTTGTTATTCTTCTGTTCCTTTTCTTATTTTAACATTTAAGTGAATAAACTCTGAAATTTTCTCAAGATAAACTTTTTTCGCTCCATTAGAATTTTGAGTGACTGGCGTATAATTGAATTTTTCGGGGCATTTGCATATTTCAAAAGTTTCCCTGAGAAAGTTAATGTACATGAAAGCTTCATATTTCCAGAAAAGGGAAAAAAATCTAGAAATGTTACACTAGAGTGTGGTTTATTTGATTTATAACTCCTTGGACTGAAATATTGGTTATTTTGTTTCCATTTAACAATATCATTTTTTGCCCTCTTCTGGAAAGCAATATTCTGTTAAAATGTATTTTGTAGGGTTATTTTTCTTTCAAGTATTTTAAGAGAAACCTGTCGTTATTGAGAATAAAATGTGTCTTCAGCATTTTTTTGTTTTAATTTTTTTTATAGCTTTATTGCTTTTTAAAAGTTTCTTTTTTCCCTATTTTTTTAGCCTTATTGCATAATCTATTTGAACTCTAATCTGTTGAAGAGGATTATTGACCGGTGCTATAAATACTCTCGGAGAAAGGCCAGCTAGCGTGTAGCACTTTCCAGTTAACTCAATTATAGGTAGAGCATTGGACTAAGAATTGGGCGGTCTGGGTTTAATTCCCGGGTGTTGCAGGTCACTTTCGTTGTGATTGATCATAAATTCCTGATACTGTACCTCTGCTCTGGCATGTACAGAAGTTATCAGTTCCTTGTGAAAGTTTAGGCAACTAGTACTGTGAGGTAAACTGCTTGACAGTCTGCCCAGGAATGATGCAGTGGCTGAACTGTGCTTGTGTCTCCATGTTTGTTTTAAAGCCAAGGCTTGATCAACTTCAGACCTGAGCTTCTTTTTTTTTTTTAAATAAAGTAATTCATGAAAGTTATAATAGTTACCATTCCATTTTCAAAGCTGTTCAAATCAATTATACAAATTCAGCAGGGGTAGATCAACATGTTTTTAATGGAATTTTTTTTTTACGAAAATGTGAAAATACAAACCAAAAAAATGGATTAATTTTGTAGTCTGAATAATACTTCTCTTGCATGTGAACTGTTAATTTCTAAATTTCATCTCAGCCAGCAAAGATTAGAGAGAAAGAAACTTTTTTCTTCAAAGATTTTAGATCATTTTGCTGATTTCAAACACAGTTATCACTATAATCTATATTATACAGTTGATGTTTCAAAAAGGAGTAAAATAGGGACTTTGTTTTGTCAAATCAAGATTAAAGTAAATATATAAACAATCATCTCTTGTGTTAATTTTACTTTTTTTCTTTGACACATGTTTGTTTTTTTTCCCTAACGATATGACTAAATCTCATTGTTGAGTATTTATATGTTTAAAAAAGAAAGAAAAATAGAGAAACGATTTTTCTGTGACAATCCAGATTTATCCCCACTTCAACAAAAAATAGAAAAAGTTGACTTCTGTGTATTTTAAATGATATAAAGGTTAAGTTGTTTCAATTTGGAGTTTTGAATGCCATGGATAGAACATATTATATGGATAGTATTTTGAGATGATTTAATTGGTATATGACATGATGTGGCTGGCGATCAATTAGGCCATAAAAAATGTTCTGTTTCCTGTCACCCTACCCCTACTTTTTTTTAACTGCTGACCCTTGACTTCTTGACTATCATGATTTGACTTTCTGCTTATTCAAAAAATTTTATTACAATGTAATATTATATCATATGATTAAATAAAAATATATCCATATAAAAAAGAAATTCTTACGTACCTACCCTCTTATTTTTGGGTAGGAGACTAGAAACAGAAGTTATTATTTTTTTGGCCTAAAATGACATGGCTGAATCATTTTGATGCAAGATAATGGGTGGTCAGCGGTAAATCACGGATAATTAGGGACTGACAGGTGATAGTTAACCCACCAATTAGGGCTCACAATAAGTACCCAATTGTACTCCCTAGAGGGGTTATATCAATACATACTATCATAGTGGTTTCACTAAAGAAATTTGAACAGTTTTGAGATTCTTCAAATTTTATTGCATGTTAATCACTTTTTAAAGTCAATGAATTTGTAAGATCTTTTGTTTAACTTGTAATAAAAAAAATATTGGAATGAGTAGAAAAAAAATCTTAAATGAGCCTTATTATAATCCATCTTTCAAACTGGACAAAGCCATTCATCATTAATAGAGAATATTTCAAAATATGTACTGAATAGCAAACATTGCAGACCATTAATCAGACAGTATGGATCTTGGTCTGCACTGGATGCATTGGTAGTAAATGTTGCCCACAGCATAATGAGACAGAACTATATAAGTTATAGTGTGGTATTTCCAAAGATTTCCATTATCTGTTTTCCTAATATTCCTAAATTAGGAATTCTAACGTGAAGTAATTGTCTGGCAAAAAAAAGAAGGGAACATTATTGGCAAATCTGCACAATTTTAGAATTAGGTATCAATTGATGGGGAGAGAAACTGCTTTATTGTCTGTAATTGGAGAGAACTTCACTTCTTAATTGTTCAATCAATCACAGTCTACTGTATTCCTGTGACTTGCTATATTGTATAATATACCTGAACTTTTATCCTAGAACAATGTTTAGCTTATGTAATAAATGGAGTTGTAAAATGGTTTTGATTAATATACCAATAATGTTGTTACTCACCTGTCACTGAATCTTCTATCTATTTTAGCCCCATGCTTATTTTTGCTGCTCCCAGTGGGGGTTGGGGGTGTACATATAGCTTTGCTCTTACCTGTTCTTTAAGCTGTTATCAGTAGAGTGAGAAAACAGTGGAATATAGGGGCATACATGTCTTTAGTTGTAAAGGGCTTAAGCAATGTTTTAATGTACCATTTATACTGGATCTTATGTGACTGAAATAATAAGCCAGAATTGACATCTTGTCCTTTGAATTGGAAACAGTAGAGTGAATAATTATCTAAGAAAGCTAACCTGTGCACTGTCTGAAATTAAACTTTTGACATTCTACATGTATGCAGACTGATCAGGCTTATTACTGTTGATTTTTTGTATTTTGATACTTTGGGAAATTCAATTATATTGGCAAGTCTGCATGTCTGTGCAGTCTAACCAGGCTCTGGCTGACAAACTTTCAATTTTCATCTTGATATCCCCAAATATAAAAATGGGCCATTCCAAAATGGAAGCTGGACAAGTCCATTTAAGAAATTCAGCAGGTTAAGGGTCATAGACTAAAATTTTAAGCAGCAGATAGTTTGGTCAGACTGTACAGATAGATTGCATGGATATGCAGGTTGGTAGATAGATATATATGGGCTGTAGAAAACAAAGTTATCCTTTACTGCCTGCCTCTATAAAGAGTTTATCAATTTAATTTAAGACAATACCAGTATTTATCTAATTTCAAGACTTTAGAGAAAAGATGATAATTGGATAAAAGTTAAATGTTATTTACAGTTTTCCCCCTCAGACACATTTATAGTTGAATTTAAAGTAATATATTTCAATTACATATTTAAATATAGATTCTTTGATAAGAAGTTAATACAGTATGCAAGATCGCAGTTGATAAAGGTCTTCAGATTGATTTTTCTTAGTCTGCTGGCGAGGATTTGATCTTCCCATGTGAGGATTATACACATATCTTCCCATGTGAGGACTTGATCTCCCATGTGAGGACTTCCCATGTGAGGACTTAATTTTCCAATGTGCAGACTTGATTTTCCCATGTGAGGACTTGATCTTCCCATGTGAGGACTTGATCTTCCTATGTGAGGACTTGTTCTTCCCATGGGAGGTCTTGATCTTCCCATGTGAGGACTGCATCTTCCCATTTGAGGACTGCATCTTCCCATGTGAGGACT